CCAAAAAAAATCACAGAGGAAACTAAAAAATAAAAGGCAATGAAATGAAAAACGAATTGCAGGATAACTTGGGTAAATTAAATTCACACATATTTAATGGTTCCCAATGGTCCTCCTAGGAGGGCAAACCCCCTTTGGTTTGGGAATGGGAGATGTAGGTGTAAAACACGTCTAGAGCATTTCCTAAAACACTGGAGTCTTAAAGAGATATGTTAACATATTATTTACCCTTGTAGGAGAATGAAATAAAAATGGCCAGCAGTCTTAATTTTTATCATTTTGATACTCATGCTAATAATCATAACAGTAAGTGATGCCAAACCTTTTAGTAGAGTTTGAAAACCAAAAAGATGAAGATGAATTGTATTTTACACAGAATGTATAACTTGACAACTGATTTTTAAGCATAGAGGAGAACAAATATTTTTAGTTTGTTTCACTTGTGGTAATTTAAAACTTTTAAGTGGATAGATGGAAAGATTGGGTCATTTTCAGAATTACCAGAGGAAATGCGATCTTGTCTCTTGCAGCTTGAACTGTTTTCCAATACTTGCACCTCAAGTAGCAGCACAATTAATTTAAGATCACTTGTTGTGTGTACAGATAAGGTCTGTGGTTCCATTTTCAGTTGCTAGGATAAGTGGTGTTTATGTTTGTGCTGTAGGTGGCTGAGTTATAAAAATCAGTTATTGCCATTTCAGTCCTTCTCCACACCAAGTGTGAAGCTGTGTCTCACCATGTGATTTTTAATTAGTGGTCAGTATATTTACGGTCAATTAAGTCTCAATAGGAATTTAAATATCCAAATATTTAAATATTCTGGGCTGTGGATTATTGTAAATTTTACAAATTTATCTGAGACAAAATGTGATTGATAAATGTAAAGGTATAAGGCAAAGCAGGATAAAAATGTCATGCAAGAAACCTGTATCTGGAAGGAAGTAAATTACACTCCCAGCTTTTGGAAGGGAAGTAAATTTAAGGAAACAAGAGATTAATTGAAGTATGTAATGCTTGGTAGAACAGTACTCCCTGAATTCCTTATTTCACCACTATTAGGTGGAAGTGAAAACTGATCCGCATCATGTTTCAGAGTCTCCAGAACAATTAAAAAAGAGAGTAAGAACTGTATGACTGGCAGAGAAACATCCCAGCCTCTGTGCCTTTATGACATCAGCTTTCTGCTGGATACTTTCTGTAAAATCACGTTTTCTGGCACCAAAATGTGGGCAGTGAGGCCATTGTGCTTCAACATTGCTTTCTCAAACACTTTCCCACTGAGAAACTTATTTTCTGTTGTGTTGGGAACTAAGAAAAATAGGATTTTAGAAGATTTTGAAGTTGCACCTCTCAGACCTGCATTAAACACACAGGTTATGAGATACCCTTTGCTGTCCCTGTACACAGATGGGTTATTCTTGAGCAGAGAGATAACAAACAAAAAAGTGCTGCAACTTCTGGCACCATCATTCAAGTTCCTGAACTTGCCTTTCTTCAAAGTACTTTTAGCAGTTCAACACGAAATGTTGCTGTCAGAGTGGGAAGCTTATTACATTTTACATTTCACATCTTGATTTTATTTTGTGTCATCTTTATTATTCTAGTATTCTAATACTTTCCTCCTTTTAGGTATTTGGGTTTGTTTTTTTTTAACCTTCACTGTAAGTTGGTTGGCGCAAATACTCTGAGATGACTACATGAAAGGTTTTTCTTTTCTGGCTTCTTTTTCACCCAGTTTAGTAGAAGATTCTTCTTAATTTGCTCTCAGCTGCAGGATTGGCAGCCTTTAGGAAACTTTTTGTGATGCCAAATTAATGAATTTCATACCTGTGGGTAGGAATTACGATATATTGCTGCCGAGAGATGTTGGTGGCATCTCCATCTCAGCATTGGCTTAGATCTGGCTTGCTTGTCTTTTTTTTTGTTTTTTTTATTTTTTTTTTTTTGTTTTTTTTGGGTTTTTTTTTTTTTTTTTTTTGTGTGGTTTTTTTTGTNGTTTTTTTTGTGGTTTTTTTTGGGGTTTTTTTTGTGTTTTTTTTTTGTTTGTTTGTTTGTTTGTTTTTTGTTTTTTTGGTTGGTTATTTGGGTTTGGTTGGGATTTGTTTTGAGTTTGAGGGTCTTCCCATTTGTTTTTGTGGTTGCTTTTTTTTTGTTTGTTTGCTTTGTTTGTTTGTTTGTTTTGTTTTGTGTTTTTTTGTTTTTTTTTTTTAGTTTTAGTTTTGAGGGATTTTGGAGAATGTTTGGTTTTCTTTGTGTAGGTTGTTTTTTATTAATTGGATTGGTCCTTTATGTGTCCTCTGGTTTGTTTTTTTTGTTTTGTTTTGTGTTGTTTGTTTCATTGCTTGGGTTTTGCTGGGGTTTTTTGTTTGGTTGGGAGTTTTTATTTGGGTTTTTGGAGGCTTTGTTGGTTTTTTGAGAGAGTTGTTTGTCTTTTGGGGGTTTGGTTTTGTTTATTGCTATTGTTTGTTTGTTTGCTTGCTTGCTTTTGGAGTGCTTTCTTCTGCTTTTCCAAATACCTTATCATGTCTGCAAGTTCTTGAACTCCATTGGAGAAGTTGATTTTAGTCCCTCTTGTCTTCTTCCTACCCCACAATTGAAATTGCCTGCTGCATTATTGAGTATTTTTCAAGCTTAACTCCAAGACAAATAAAGAGTCTGTCTTCCTGAAAATTCAGTGTGAGCATCCATTTAAAGTGCATTTAAAATGCTGAATTTTAGGCTGAGGCAATAGGCAGAAATGTGCAAGTCTTCAGCATGCAAACATTTTATTTTCACCTTCAGAAACAAGATCTGAGTAACCAGGTCAAGGTCTGTGGGCACTGGTTTTGATTCAGTCCCAGTATTCTGAGTCCAGTAAGTTCAGGGGTGTTTGTGCTGCAGGAGAAGGAGATGAAATTGCCAAGAAGTCAAGGAGAGAGGGATGCCTGCTGTAAGGAATGGTTTCTCCCTAATGGACATTCCAGCAACTCCTAATTAAAGAGTAGGAAACTGAAGTAAAACCAGTTCAGAGACTAAATGCCAGGTGTTCTGGAAGTGACAAGGGAAGTGGTGAATAAGCACATGGCACAAAGCTTCTGCTGCTTGAGTTTGTCTTTCAGAATCCTGTGCTCAATAATGTGTGTGGGGACTTGAAAACCACTCCCGCTGCCATGAAAAGCTGAGAGTATTCAATACATTTTCATTAAAATGTTGGACTGAATTTCTTTGTTGTCTTGAAACCTCTTAGTAGAACCTTTCTGTGGACAAACAATATATACAATACACAATATGATATATACAATATATTGGTAGTGGAGAGGGACAAGTTCAGTCACTGACACAAAAATTAGAATATTTGAGTTTGTAATGGTAACATTTTTGTGGTAAGCCAAACCATAAGAACTACTTGAAATCTGCTTATCACTGATTGCAGCTCCACCTGTGTGTAAGAGGAATACAGATACATGAATATTTACAGTATATAATCCTTGGAAACTTGGAAGGAGTAGTTTTTTATTACTATTTTTTTTATTGCTATTGCATATCAGTCGGCTGGTTCTGCTCTTTAAACATGGCTGAATTCAGAGACAGTTCAGGTTTCCCTTTTTTTGAGCTGCACAGCTGTAAATAAAGTTGAGTTTAATTTGCTGGAGGAGAAAAGTCAAACCCAGGGTTCTCACTGGAGTGGCTGCACTGGGTTGACCTCTGTGGAAGTGGTTGAAATTCTAATTTCCTGACATTTCTACTGTTTCACAAGGGCCTCGTCGCATGCTCAGCTCTTTCTCTTTCTTATCAGAGCTTCTCACCAGCAGAGAATGCACAAAAGAGCCTCCCTCTTCTACAGCACATAATTTCAAGTATCTTTTTATTAATCTATTCACAACTGTTATTGAACTTTCTTCTCCAGTTTGTAAACCCTCTGTACTTTAAATTGCTTTCTAGCACTACTTTGAGTGCATGTTTATGTAGGTTACATTATTTCAGCTTTCATCTGATTCCAGGATGTGAAAGGTTTCATTAATTTATTGATGTAAGATCATAGGAAAAATTCCAGTAGTAATTATTGGTAAAATAATTGCAGTTTCTCTGCTAGCTATTGCTAGTCTAAATCAGTCTTTTTGTCCCTGTGCTCAGACACAGCATACTTTTATCTCTTAGTTTTCTTCTGGAGCTGTAGGTACTCCTGCTTGCCAAATCCATCCTCTTCATCTTCTGTTTAGTCAAATATTTATGCCTTTTTCCTGTAGATTTGCCACTCATCTTTTTAGATTTCTAGGCTATTGCCACACTTTGGGGTGGAATGAGCTGAGAAGTTAAATGTTTTTGCTGCCAGTGCCACTCGATTACCTGGGGGCCTGATCCTGTTTGTGGGCTTTGAGGTAGCTCAGGGTAGCCAAGAGCCACCAGAAACTCACAAGGTGTGGGTGGTGTGCCAGATTTGGGTATAAATTGAGCTCAATTTACGCCCAAATCTGGGTATAAATGTAATCGAGAGATAGATCCAGTGTGTGAGCAGGGAGGATGGCAGGAGTGCAGCACTGAATTGACATGGTGATTGAAACCAGCAAAATTCTAAATATTTGCATCATGAACTAGAAATCTGTGCCCCCAAAGGTTAAATTTTGTGTTGCTTTCCACTGTACTATGAAGAAACGAATGCAAAGTATTTGTGAATTATTTTGATCTTCCTTACCTCTGAACTCTCCCAAGAACATTTTTGTATTGCTATTCCAAGATTCCATCTTTCCCCCTTCTCCAGTGGAAAGTAGAGATGTCTAATTATGGTTTATTCTTCACAATTAATGCTTTAAGTTTTTTATATTCTGCACTTACAAGTGCTGAAACAAACTGTTAAATAATTTATGCTGATAGATGGGTTTTTATGCTAAACATTGTGGAACAATGTCCGGAGCTCTCAGTGGGAGCTCTCAGGCTGGATGGGTGTGAGCGTGGCAGTGGCACAGGATGGCCTTTACAGGATGAGTGGGATTATTCAGCAGTGTTTCTTCTTCTCCCTGCAGCCTTTCATGTCCCCCCGGTACCCTGGAGGCCCAAGGCCACCTCTCAGAATACCCAACCAGGTAAGGCTGAGGGTTCTGTCCCTGTGGTACTCAGTTCTGTGTCAAATCCTTCACTCCCTGCCCATCTCTGCTGGACATACAAATTATATTTGTTCCACCATAAATATGGGGATTATTGATGAGAAACAGGTCTCGTGAAGTGCTCTATGGCTCTTCCAGACACTGTGAGGAATTTCTAAAATGCTGAATTTCCAGTTTTCTCTCATCTCCATCTAAGGATGTGCAATACCAGCAAGACGAAGATGAGTAATGAGCTGCTGTTCGTCAGCAGGGACCTTTTTTGGCCCATCTGTGAGAAGAGGGTTCTGGAAGTAGAGAACATTTGTGTTTTCAAGTTCTCCATAGTGCAGATAGAGGAGGAGAAAGAGTTGTCAGCAGATGAAAAGTTAAAGAGAAGCAGACAGAAAACCATCAGTGGAGCTCTGAGACGGAAACTAGGTCATTTGCAATATTGGAAAAGGTAGAAAGGATAAATGGAACAGGTAGTTTGGTTCAACTTTGGCTTCCAGGACTGCCTTTCGATTGTCACACTATACCTCAGCCTCATTTCTGGCCATTTTTTATATTTGTGTAACACACTTTCAACAAATTTGTCATTACTTTTGACACACTATCACCAAAAGTTATGAAATCTACATTTCAGTGAGTTGAATGTATCAGGTGGCAAGATTTCTCCAGGTATTGTTCTACTTGGTGATGTTTGGGATCAGGTAAAGTTACCTGTACCAGGGCACTAGGGGACTTAATTAGCCTTGATGAAGTGATCATCTGTACAGTGTCATTAGTGGGGTGCACTTAATATTTGGTAACATTTTTCTGCTGTAACTCAGTGCATTCCTGATTTTTGCACTTCCCAATAGTCTTAGCCAGAGGTGTCTGAGCCCCCCGAGCCAAGGGTTTGGGTTTCACACCCTCTGTGCCTGAGCTCAGCGAGTCCTGGCAGGTGGGATGTGGTGGCTGGAAGCACTGCCAGCCTGCAGGTTTGGTTTCAGAAGGATTTTGTCTGCACGCTGTGGTATTTTCAGTCCAGAATGGAAGATAATCACGTAATCCCAGCGAACTGCAGCTCTTGCTGCATTCACAGTTTGGCAAATTCACAAACTGCTTGTTTAGCAGCACTGACATTGCTCAAGGTACAGCATGGATGGGCAAGGTGTGGAAGCAGTAAACTATTGTGGTGCTGCTTTAAGACCCTAATTTTGATTAGGTGGTAGTTTGGACCTGGGATTGTGGAAGGGGTCCCTTCCCAGGACAGAGGGGTTGGAAGGAGATGAGCCTTAAGGTCCCTTCCAACCCAAACCATTCTGAGATTCTGCTCACTCAGGATACATTTTTACTGAAAATATGATGGTGCTTTGAAATGCTAAATAGCACCTCATGGATCAGCTACAAAGATCCATTCATAAAAGTGTTTTCCTACTTGACCCAGCTGCAGGTAAAATCCTGTAAAAATGCGCTTTAAACCTAATTCAGTAAACCCAGAGGGCAGATTAATGTGGGAATTTAAAAGCATGTTAACTCTTGACTCAGAGGAAACATCCAGGAATTAGGAATGAAACGTGTGTGTTGTGTCTTTAACACGAATTTCAAGGCATTCTGTGGTTTTATGCTGTGTTTTCCCTGCCTCAGGCCCTCGGAGGTGTCCCAGGGAGTCAGCCCCTCCTGCCCAGCGGGATGGACCCCACACGGCAGCAGGGTGAGTGTCCTCACAAACTGGCACCTTTCTTCCTGCAGTTCCTTAGGCTTTTCTGTTAATTAGAAAGAGGTGGTTCATTAAAAGTAGCTGTAGAAGGTGATTGTGTCTTGCATAATTAAATAAGTTGTGCATTGCATATATAAATATAATGTATTTTATATTTTGTTTGCAGGTCATCCAAACATGGGTGGGCCAATGCAGAGGATGACTCCTCCAAGGGGAATGGTGCCATTAGGACCACAGGTATTTTCTACAGATGGGTTATCCTTAGTGACAGGCCTTTATTTAGTCTGTATTCTCTGTCTTTGCATAGCATGAAGAAGCCCAGGACTTGTTTCCATAATCTTTTTTTAAAAACAAAACTCCTCTTTTACAAAAAAGCATCTGTTCTAAGTTGCAGCTATACAAAATAAAAATGAAAAATCTGTAATTTTCATTAATATTTGGAATTAAAAGAAGAATCCCTTCACTTGCATTTTTTAGAAAAGTTTGTGTTGTAATCAAAGACTGATATTGGCAAGGACAACCAGGAGTGGAGTAGGTGTTTCCTCCTCCTCCTCATTGATTATGCTGTTTAGGAGGAAAAGATTAATATTCTGTAACTTTGACAAAAATACCTCTCCAAATTCTGTAAAGTTTTTCTGTCATCCACTGTTGATCTACATTTTGGCACGTGCAGCAGAGATTTTAGTGTGAAGTGAGATGTCCAGGCTACCATTTGTCCCCATGTCCACCTCGAGCATCTCTGTGGCTCTGTCCCAGAGAGACAAGGCAGGGGACAGACTTTATGTCCTGATGCACCCTGGAACACAAATCCAGGAGGCTCCTCTGTGTTTTGTCAGCACTCCAGTGAGCAGCACGTGGGTGGTGGTGTTCCTCACTGGTGCTGCCAGTGTTTTGTTTCACAGCGTGCTTGTTGTGCCCACACTGTGCATTTTTGCTTCCCCATTTCATATAATCTCCCTGGTGGCTTCTTGTTTGAATAACAACTAAATTCTAAATTATTGAATAGCTTTGTTGTCCAAGTGTGTTCACAACTGTCTGCACAAATTTGGGTCTTCTTGCTATAAGCCATTTGTGCAGTACTTCACAGCCTCTACTGAGTGGCCAGCAAAACATATATAAATATAAAATAAATTATTTTTGCTGTTTTTTTATGTGGCCCTGAAAAGTACTGGAAGTAAAAGAGAAGCTCTGCTGTGCTGCCATGTGAGATTGAGCTGATCCTTTATGTAGAACCATTAGTCATGCAGCAGGCAAATCTCATGCCACTTTTTATGAGGATAATTTTTTTCAATTTTTTCAGTGTTTTTGTAAGCTTCTTCTTTCTCATGCTCAACATCCTAACCTACACAAAATTCAATTCTATAAAATTTAAGTTCAGAAATGACTCCATAATTGGATCACCAAATACCTGGGCTCTGCAGAGGGCATCACTGATCTGAAAGGACACTTGTAGGGTGGCCCTGGTGGCAGTGCTGTTATTTAGGGCAAAGGAGTAAATCTTCTTAGGATTAGCAGTAATTACAGGTGAAAGATTGTCAGGTGAGACAGTGCTTCTATTCCACTGAATAAAAATAGGTATAATTTATATTTTTGTGTAAGTAGTGCAGTCAAACTTTGATCATGATATCAGGATATAAACTCAGATTTTATGGGTGTTGGGAATTTAAGTTGTTAGCATTGCTAGGACATCATTTACCATATTGAATACTCCTAATTTTGATTATCACAGACCTGGGGTAGTGGAAAGTGTCCCTGTCCAGGCCAGAGTTGACACTGGATGGGTTTCAAGGTCCAATCCTGGGATTCTGTGATTTATTAGAATTGAATCACGGAAAGAGAAATATAATGGTACATTAGAAAGGTTATATCATGTGGTTTAATTTTATAGAAACATAATGAAACCTAGGTAGAAATAATGCCATCTGGTATCTCAGAATCTTAGTAGGGGGCTCTGATTTTGAATTGCCTTGGTTTAGAAGTTGAATTAATTATAAAACCTGTCCTTTTCTGGCCATTAGCCTGAGCTCAGTATTTATAAATAGTATCATTCCCCCTGAAACCAAGTTAAACATTCTTAGCCAGTTTCTGTTCCTTGTATTGCTTCTCTTTGGGGTTAATGATCCCAATTTTTAGTCACCAGTCAGGGAATCCTGAAAGCATGAATGGCATGGCCTGTCCTGGCAGCAGTTGCACAGGGATGTCATTAACCTGCTGTCCTTTCTTTCCCCCTCCTCTTTGGTTTTGTTTTTTTGTTTTGTGGTAGTCTGACCCTTGGTTGTCGTTGCAGAACTATGGAGGTGCCATGAGACCCCCTCTGAACGCTTTAGGTGGCCCGGGGATGCCTGGGATGAACATGTAAGCACAACACAAATCCTACTCTACCTAGAAAATGCCATTATTGCATTGCAGAAGGAGCAATTGGGATAGACAAGGCAAGGAGAACATGCTTTGATGACCAATAAATCCAATTCTAAGAAGTGAACCCACAGTCTTACAGGAGCCTTGGCTGTCCTAACAAGTCTGTACAAATTCTCAGTTTTTTTCACAGATAAAACTTCAAATACTGGGAATATTTTGTTGATATAATCACTGATATATCCTTGTATGCATTTCTAAAAATTATATTATTTATATTTCTACTTACTAAATATCTTGTGAGGAATGTTTTTGCTCTGCGGAATAAATCACTACTTAATTGTAGCAAAGTACCCTTTGTCTAGAACTACTTATAAGAAAGAGAAAAACATGATTGATTTGAAAGTCTTCCTCACCTGCAGTTCTTATTTCCTTAAATGCACTTTTTTCCAGTGTAAACAGATAAAGGAGCTTTACAGATATGAGTGTATTTCTGTCAGTTTTTCTGTGTATTTCTGGGTCTGAAAAATCATCTGGTAAAAATAGATATAATCTGAGTTCAGATTTATTCTAAACATGAATTTAGCCATGGCAGGGTGTTGCACCTTGTATCCCTGAAGACAGCCTCCCTTTTAAATGTATAGAAATACTTCCAATGTAACACTAAGAAAGCAGTAAATGTTTCTGTATGCTTTTCTCATTATCATAGATACCAATTTTTACTCTAGTTTTTATAGAAAATGTAATTAAGAAATCATAATTTTCATTTCAAGTGAAAAGTTACATCTGAAGAAGTCAGAGAGGTAGAGAAGTATATAATGTAATTTTTAAATATCCACCATATTTCTAATTGGTTTGGATTTCCAGACATGCATTGAAATCTTTACGCCAATAAATTAAAATCAGAAGTTATGTGTTGCTGTATCATATACATCACATATAGCGATTTAAGATAATTCTAGGAGCCTTCCTGAGGGTAGGCATTTATATTTTTCAATTAAACTGATGTGGAAAAAATATTTAGACATTTGAAATTCAGTGTGAGTCAAGTATAGGCCCCGTAGAGGTTTTCCTCAGCATAAGACTGTATAAAAAAAGGAAATCAACTTTACAGAAGTAAATTGAGGGATAGATAAGATAGTTTGAAATTATTTATAAATATAAATGAGAGTTTACACAGTGTTCTGTATGACAAAAAGATTTCCCGGCCTACCAGAAAGAGAGAAGATGGATTGAAGTACTTCTATTGCTGCTTTTTATAAACACATTTTATCAAAGGGTGGTTGTGAGTCAGGATTTTTTGGATTGTATTTTCAGGACATGAGAGTGTTTCCCTACTGTAAATTTACTGCTGTTCCTGAAATTGTAGTGTTGCCTCAGGCTCAGGGCTGGCCTGGGGGCAGTGGCAGAGGATGAACCCGAATGTGCTCCCCTTACCCAGCTGGGAAAATCACATTTCAGCTGTACACAAGGATGTCCTTTCACACCTGAGTGTTTTCTTTACATGGCAATTTCCCACTGCTCTGTTCTTCATTTTCTTGGGTTTTTGGCAGTCTCGAGTGCAAAAATGCTCCACAGAAACAGCTGCCATTTAAGATCCAGCTTTTCCTCCTTGGAATGCAAAGGGAAGCTGCTTTGGTTAAGAACAGACTATCTGCCAAATAAAATGTACAGTTTTTGTGGGTGAGAAAGTGTTCCTTGTGGTCAGAAATGGCAGCCTGAGGGCTCATAAGGCAGCATTTCAGCCCATACAATCCACAAATGCAGCACTGCTGGGGGATTCCTTGCTTTGTCATCAGTAACACCATCAGACTTCTGTTGGACGCAGCTGATGCCCAACCCAGGTTCTTCCACAGAATAACTTCATTTTAGGCTGTAAGATGTTTCAGTTGGAACTTGGCATAGTCGTTTTTAGGAAGATTTAATGTCTCTGCCAGTTTTTGGAAGAAAAAGGCAGATTTCAGGGAGCAGTGTTACATTTCACTGGTGATTTTTAACACCCTGTGTGACCTGCAGTGCTGTCTCAAGCACTAAGAATATCTCAGTCATGCCTCAGATTTAAAAAAAAAAATATAAAAGAAAAAGGTGTGATTTTGTCTTTTAACTTCAATTCACAAACTCGAGTCTAGATGTTTCATTTCCTGACAGAATATATTTGCCTCTTGGGAAACTGGAATTTCAGACTTATATTTTTTCAAGCCAGGATTGACACTTACAGGACAAACTCTTAAAAAAATTGCAGAAAAAAAAAAAATTGGTCATAGCAACAGAGACATTGTGAAGTATTTTGGAATTGGTACTTATATGATTATGTTTTATGACCTTGTTGGTGCTTCCAAAATAAACATTTAGTAAAAGACAAAAGACCTGCTTGCATGGAATTTAAAAAAAAAAATAAAAATTGCAGTCTGGGGATTTTTATGTGTGTTTTATAAGCATTTGGCTCCAGAAAATCCATGTGGTTTTCCAGCAGAATCTGCTGCAGTGATTTTTAAGTCTATACTGAAAGCTGTCCAATAAATCTGAAAATTCCAACAGCTTTTTAGATGAAAGGTGAGTTCCCATGTCTCAGTGTGTAATTTCTGAGTTTCCACACTCCTGTGGCTTAACCCAGTTGTGTTTTTGAGTCAGTACATGTAATGGAAATGAGTGTGAGGGTTTGGGGTGAAAACAGACTTTTAATTGTTGTTACAAATATCCCTGATTTTTCTGAAAGAGATGATTCAATAAACCAATGAAAAATTAGAAAAAGAACAGCAAGGGAAAAAAAAATCAGTTAATATTTCATTATGTGTTTATCAGCAGAGGAGAAATTGCTGAATATTTGACCCGAGGAGCATTTCCCTGCTCAGTCTTTCATTGAATGAAGCAGAAAAGACCATACCAACATTCTTGATTTCCAGCATTCCAACAATAAAGGCAGTGGAAATAAATACATTTTCTGTTAATTTTTTTTGAGATTGTTCCTTTATCATTTCATCAACAATGTAATAAAAAAATAAGATACAATATTAAATCCCTTAGGCAATGTATGCTCTAATAGTTTTTATTTCTGCAAGATTTAGAAAACTTTCAGAACTCATTAATAAAGGGTGATGTTTTCTCTCTGTTTCAGTCTCTCTCCCATGCCTGGTGAGCTGCAGTTGTTAATGTTGCTTTTCTACAGCTAATGAGGCCAAAAGGCCATTGAAAATGTGAAAGTATTGTCATGTGCTCTGCTTCTCTGTTGTCAGGGCCTTCAAAAAGTTATTAAATCTTGTTTGTAAACAAGCAGGAGCTCTTGGAACTCCCAGAAATAATTATGTGTTTGGGACTGATTTCTCCACTGTGTCTGTGACCATGGACATTTTACCTCTGCTGTGTCTGAATCGCCTCTGGATTGTTAAGAGATGGAGCCTCACACCCAAAATACTTTTCTGGGTTTAGCTGAGAGTGAGAAACTTAAAATAACAGCTAAAGTTAAACCCCTCTGAGGGTTTTCTGGGTGTAATAGATGAAATTTATTACCACAGCTGTTGTTAACATCATAGTCATCATCATCATCCTCCTCACCATACAGGGATCATAGCAACGTATTTGTGTGGCTTGATTGTCCATAAATTAGGTGTTCCCCAAACATTTATTAGCTAATTGCACAAGTTTTGCTAATGAAACCTGACTGTACTGCAGTATTCTAGATCCCCAGTAAATGAATGCATCATTCAGTACTTCAGGCATGTGCTTAATTATGTGAGCAAGATTACTGGTTTTATGGCTGAGCATTTATTTATTTTATGACTTAAATTTATTTTCTGAGTAGTAAATAAATTAATCAACTCACCAAATGATTGAATAGCAGTGCAACAATAAAAATTCTGCGCTTGCATTTTAACTTTGTGTAGTTATGCTTTGTAAACACACTTTATTTTGAAAAAAGCCATTTCCTTCCTCCAGAAACAGGTTATTCAGATTTTTTTCCTCAGAGCTGGTCAGAGGATGGGGATGGCTCTGTGTCTCATCATTCTTCTTCTGTTTCAGGGGTCCTGGGGGTGGTAGACCTTGGCCAAACCCAACCAATGCCAATTCTGTAAGTAAATATTACAAATATATTTGATATCCGTTGTATTTAGGGAAATATTTTCATGCCAGGCCCAGCAATGCTGTAACAAAATGGTTGCCCTGGGATCCTACATGAACAGCATTGTCTGATACTTGTCCAGAACGCAGAAAATCTTCATTTTCATTCAGGGATCATGTGTCATCACTTTAAAAAATGCCCATTTTTGGTACATGTAGATGGATAAGGTGGTCTGGCTTGCCCTGCTAAACAGCTCTTCCTGGTTTTCTCACTTTGGGCTTTTTAATTCTATTAGTGAAATGCTTCAATTTTCTTTTGCGTGTACTCCATTAAAATTTATATTTTTTAGCTGATAGTTAAAATTTTTTCAGCCCCTGGAATCAGTTGGCGAGTCCAATAGTGGATTTATTTGTAACAGTAATTTGGCTGACAAGTTGTCTGTAGAGAAATTTGTGTTTGTCAGTGTAGTTTCTCCCACGACAGCACCGGCCTGTGTCCCTTTGGAGAGAATAACAGCAAAGGCAGCAAGAAAAAGAAACCAGATTATTCACAGGATTTCTCCAGGACACTGTCCTTAAAAAAAACCATAAAAATAGAAGTAAATTAAAATATCTTCTAAGGTGAAAGATGTGGTAGTTTCTCTTCCTTTAATGGTGAAGATTGTATTCAAAATTAGGTATCTCTAAGAACACACAAATTCAGTTCTTGCTTGGCTGACTCCGATGTCCTGCTGACTGAAATGCAAGTATGTGCTGCCTGAGTCCATAAACCTTATAAACCAAATTGCCTTAGTAATCTTATACCTTAACATTTTAATACTTTATTATTTTTATAGTCAGTACTTGGAAATTGCTGAAAAGAGGTGTTTGTTTTGACAGCAGAAGAATTTTCCCCCATGATTTTAGCCGTGTCTGTAGTTACTCTAATTGAATGAGCTCTCACCTTTAGCTGCGGGAGCCCATCCCAGCGCAGAGGGACCAAAACAATCACTGTTTTTTCTGTTGATGTTACAGATACCTTATTCCTCAGCCTCTCCTGGGAACTATGTGGTGAGTGCCTTTGTGTGTGTTTATCGACGTCACATCTCATTTGGGCAGGGAAACAGCAGCCCAGATGTTGAGGGAAGCCCCCCTGTGCTGGCTGGGAGCTGAACATCTGGCCCGCACCGAGGCTTCCCCTCCCCTCTGCTGCAGATGTGGGCGCTCAGCACCAGAATCGCTGTCAGCCTGCTCCAAATTGCCCTCAGTGCTGCTTCACTTCAGAAAACATTCCTGTACCTAGCACAGTGTATTGGCCAAATAATGAAGGACAAAGAGCCCCTTGGCTTTCTCAGGCAAACCGTGTTGTGTGAGAGTTTCTGAACTTCTGAGGAAAAAAGTCTTAATGCTGGATTTGTCTCTGTCACTAGAGATTAACTTTGTTTATTGTTTTAGACTCTGTATTGTTGCTGCTGCACTCAGGTTATTTGTATGGCTGAGGAGCTCTTCTAAGGCAGATTGCTTATTCTGTTTTTATCACATGCACAGGGCTGGTGTCACAGGGTGACGAGGGAGAATTGTATAATTAAAAGCAATTTATTTTCTAATTTATTTAGACAATTAGCTGGATAAAAAGTTATGATTCTTACAAATGTCTGTAACTGTAGGCCTCATTTTGTCACAACTTAGCGGAAACAGCCAATATTTGCTGTCTCCAAATCAGTTCTTTAATACAGAATTGTTTGGAGGAGGTTATGTGGCTTTGCCATGTTCTGTTGCTGAAGAATTTAAAGACATTTTGGGAATATTTGACTTCATAGAGAGCAAATGTCTCGGGATGAGGGATGGGCTGGAGAGCTCTTAAAAATGTTTTAGAGAAAAGATTCATAATCTGGAATTATTCACTTTGAGAACTTAGTAAGATTAATCTATATATAAATATATTAATATATACTAATATAAAACCTTATCGACTCAATTATATGTATAAATATATAAATATATACTTTTTATAAATAAATAAAATTATATTCTCAGAGTGAAAATAGTTGATACCAAGAAACTCTGTAAGAGAAGAAAAAAACCACAAACAATGAGAGTAAAAGCAAACTTTAAATTAGATGCAAAACATAAGGAAGACAAGTAACTTCTCTCATAAATGATCACTTAGTTGTTCCTACTTCTCTTTGTGTAATGTTGAAAAACATGCAGAAATAGCCCTTAAGAAAAATCAAGTAACTGAGTTTGGTACACAGGTGTGTAGCTAAAAAGTATATGGAGAGCCTGTGATGCCTAGGGAGTCATACAGATATGAATGAAATGTGGATATAAATTTGCTAATACAAGTTTATAGGCAAAAATTATATGGACAGATATCCTGTAAGCAGACAGAACATCCAGACCCTTGAAATCACTGCCACTGAAATTATATCCCTGTCTGAAACAGAATATCTGCTGTTTTAAATTATAACAAAAGAGGAAAAGTGCAGTAATAGCCATATGGCAGTGAAAATAATAATTAATACTAGTATTCTGTGTGTATTTTATTAGGGAAAGTCAATATTTCTTGACTTTAATTGATGAAGGCATTTCTACCAAAGTGGAAGTTGGTAGTTTTTCATATTATCAGAAGGGGTTCAACAAACATAAGAAGCATGATGTTATGTTTCTGTTCTTAGTAAATGATTAGGGTGATTTGAATAAAATTCCTGGAGAAATCTTAAAGAACCCTAAAACTCTTGTTTAACAGCCAGACCATTTTGTGTTTCTTAGTCTTGATAAAATTTGTGACCTGGAAATAACCAAAACTTAAAAAAATATTCATTCCTTGTAGGGGGGGTTTTCGTTTGTCTGTTTTAGGTTGTTTCTAACCTTTTAACTCATGCTACCTGACTATTTTTACTCTCCCCAGGGTCCTCCAGGAGGTGGAGGGCCACCAGGAACACCCATTATGCCTAGTCCTGCAGGTACTGAAATATATTTGGAAATAACACAATTATAAGGGATTTCAGGAATTTAATAAAGAATCAGATAACTAGATTATTTGGTCTATATATTCTGTATCAGGCTTTCTCCCCTACTTGCTAACCTCTCCAGTACAGGAGGGTAGGGAAGTTTCCTATCTGGCCTTGAAAACTTACTGCACCAGTATATTGTATTCATCAAATACAATTCCAGGGACTTAAATACATAACAATAAAAATCAAAACCAAAACAAATAAAAGCCCTCAAAAAAATAGAACAAACAAAAAAGGCAAACTCAGGTAAAGATGTTTTGAAGTTCTGTTTTCCAAAGCATGAAAACACTTAGAAATTGTCTGCCTGTGAGTTTTGTCCAGGTATTGAGTCACCTCTGAGACCAGCAGCTCAAGGATTCCACTGCCCAGCCATGCCTGTGTGTTCTGACATGAGCCAGGATAGCAGACAGGCTTTTTTCCAGAAGCTGGGGACAGCCAGGATGTGTATTGCAAAAGTTTCTGGTGGACAAAGAATTTTTTGCCTGACTCACTGAAGATTAAAAATAACTTAATAGTCTGATTTTACTTCAGTCTAAAGGCTTTTCTGTTTCCCCTTTTCCTCAGACAGCATCTTTGAATGTTCTAGTGATACGTAGTGCTATATAAGGGATTAATGCTTAGAAAATCATCTTGGAAACATTAATTAGTAGACAAAATCCTTGATTTATCTTTCTGTTGTACACAGAAGAGCATTGGGTGTGGAATGGGCTTGTGGAGGGTCTGGGTGCAAGTGCTGAGCTCTTATTTTCTGTGCAGATATTGATTTTCCAGAGTTGCCAATATGTTTTTTTAATCACACTGCCCCACTTAGGGGATGTATACAGACTTTTATCAGGTCATTGTCCTTTCAGTTTTCATCATTTTGGGGTTTTTCTGCAAACATTGCACCAGGCTGTGCTATTAAGATAGATCAGCTAAAGCCTCCCCCATGAGTGAAGGATCTTTGCACTGAAGATATATTCAAAATCATATGGACTTGTCAGGGATGAGAGTAAAAAACTGTGTAAGGATAAGTGTTTTATCATTTATTACAGATAGAAAACAAATTACAGGAATTATTGATAAGAAACAAACTCCTGTTCTATGGATAATATTGAAGATGAGTGAAGAAATTGAGAACTCCAGGAAACAGGGTTTTAGGAATTAAAGAGTTACAGATTCTTGGTGATTTATAAACCTTTTAACAGTCATGCATAAAGCTAGAGCCCAGAAATACTCACTTGGGGACTACGGCAATTATTTCTTTTCATAGCCCTGTTGTATGGCAGCAGTGGATAGAAAGAGAATAAAATCTGCCATTATATTGCCACTGTGTATGGGATTGAGGCACAGTAATAATATGAACAAAATGACAGGAAATGTATGAGGTGAGTAATTTTATTGAAAAGTGTATTTTAGCACTTAAAATAATCTCTTATTACAGATTCAACCAACTCTGGAGACAACATGTACACTTTAATGAATGCTGTGCCACCTGGGCCCAACAGACCTAATGTAAATATGAATTTTCTTACATCTTTTTTTGAGTACTGCAGCCTTTTGTTTATCCAAACACTGACTTTCCAGCAGCTATCATTATTGCTAAGCTTTCCATTTTTATGGGCCACTCTCCAGTTATGAGCCCCTGGGGAAAAATAGCGCTAGTGGAACTTAAAAATAAATATATGTAGATATGCTAAGTCATTAAGCAGTAAATTGCAGATTGTTTGGCTATAATAGTAGTATCTTCTAAGTGTGTGAAGAGCTAAATTTAAGGTTAATTATGTAATTGGACAGAAACTGCTCAAGTTGTGAAGGTGATGAGGAGCTTTCCAACTTAGGATAGGTGAGGTGGGGTTTGAAAGCTGATGAATTTAAGGGAGTTGTAGAAGTTCCCTATAACTTCAGTGGGGATAGGGCTGAGTTGCCAGCAGCAGTTTGAAAAGTCATACAAAGAGACTGAAGTAAATAATAAATTATTACTGTGTTGAATTCCAGCCTACAGAGATGAGACCTCCAAAAATCATGAAAGTGACCAAAAAAATTGCTGGCTTTCAATCTTCACAAGACATCTTCTCTTAAAGATGTGAATGGGATTTAAGAGTCTCTTCTCATTCAGAGCTGAGAATTTGTCCTTACTTTTTTTCCTCTTCTCCTGAGGAATATTTCGTCTTTATTTGTTATTTTGTCTTTATGGGTTGTGTGATAAATAATTGTGCCATTTTTAATGCCTGCTCCTTTTGTAGTTTCCACTGGGGCCAGGCTCAGATGGACCCATGAGCGGACTGGGTGGAATGGACTCACACCATATGAATGGATCATTAGGTAACAGTAAATATTGCCAGCATGCTGACTTCTCAGTGGCAGTGCCTTTTCTGTGACTAATTAATGGAGTTCTGTGGAAGTCAGATTGTTAAAATGTATGGAAAAAGTTCTGTGTACATCAGTAAGATGAAGGGAATGATTTGAAGAGGCAATGAAAAAGAAAGTCATTGAAGCTCAGTGTTACTGTGAACAATAACAACTCAACATAGGCCTCTATTTCCTAGAGAGAATTACTTTTTATGTTTTAGGAAACATGTCCCTGAGATTTTAGATTACTTTATACAGGGACACTTTTACAGCCTTTCTTTGCCTATTGCAATCCTAAAATGGATAGTTGGTTTATCTACTAATGCTGCATATTGCGTTCAAGTCAAAGAAAATCTGTGTGAGTGGCAGCCGCACCTTTTCCTGTCGCTTTCTACAGGCTGAAAATTTTTCCCTCTCAGCTAAAACGAAAAGGTAAATTGCAGCATTTATGCAAGGATTTTATATGTACCTAGCACATAATTTATCCTTTTGGGCCATGACAAAATAAATCCTGATAACATCTATGTATCTGACTTTTTTGGAGAGAGAAATCATATTCCTTCTCAGCCCTAGTTTGCCTGGCTCTGTGAAACAGCTGATTCAGTCTTCTCCATTTTGACTGCTTTGTTGTGATACTCTCCTAGTTTTGTACACAGTACTCTTCCAGAATTTGTCTTTCCTGAAAATATGTGGGTTTTGCTGCTAAAAAAAAAGCTTTTCTTCGTTCATCCATCCTAAAATTGCATTTCCTTCATTCTCTGCTTTTCATGAGGTGAGAGCTACAGCATGTGAAAAAAGCCCTCAGTTTTCAATAGTCTTGCACTCACATATTTACTTTTATTTGTTTTCCATTCCTCTGCTCATCAGGATCATCTGTTTTCTTCAAAGAGATACTCAATACATGTAGTGCAGCAAAAGTTGGTGGAGCCTCAGACTGATTGAGTGGATTGATTTCTACCAACTGTAAACTTTTACTAAGTTGGTTGTTTTTTAAAACGTTGATGTTGCACTGTGTATTTCCTATGAAAAAAACTTATTGGATTAGCTTTAGCTCAAAACTAACTGAGCAATTGTCTGTTTTAATTTCAGGCTCAGGAGACATGGACAGTATTTCCAAAGTGAGTATCTGCTCAAATATCTGGAATTTTTAGTGTCTTTCACTCTAAATTCATTTCCTTTGTCTCTGTTTTGAAACCTTTTGTTATGTGCCTTTATCATAACTGTATTTTATATCATTACCTCCAATTCATAATCTGATTGATCATGTTGTAGTCTTTGATACTCTTCAAATAAATGAAAACAGTTCTAATAATCAATTCTAGTCAAATGTAAATTTGGGACAATCTCCTTAGGGTTTTGCAGGATTGGGTTTGTCACCTCTCTAAGAATATTAATATCTTAATCCTCAGGATATAATTCTCAAAAACTAGATTAAGAAGTAGTTTCAGAAGAAGCACTGTTTTGATACCACAAGCATTAAATAGCTGGAAAAGGATGTGAGCTTAATCTGCAGAGATTTTACATCTACAAAAATAATACTTGAATGCATTAATTCAGTAAAAATAAAACTGCTATGAATGTGATCATCATTAACTTAGGAATTAGTAAGATTATGTGGTATTGGTAAAGGGGCATAAATAAAGAGGACCCTGTGTTCTTAAATTTTATAACATTTGCAGACTTTTGATGACATAAAGTGATGGATGGAAAAGACCACATTGCCTCAGTTGTGCTGTGCTGGGCTGCGCAGTGAGGGATTCAATAAACCCCTCCTGTGAGATGCCCAGCATACAGCACAGTTTTAATCAAAGTCTATGTTTTTTCTTCACTATTTTACTGCAAACTGCAGCATTTTTAAAGGGAAAAAAAGCCAAAACATTTGCATTCCCATGGGATAATTTTTAAAGCCTGTATTCCACTTTCTAGGTGTTCAGTATGTGCTGGTACAGGTATCAGCAGCTCTGAAAACTTGGGTCCTAAACTATTTACCTGGAAGTTTCATCATGTGTTAATCTGCATGAAAAACTCATGGAAATAACATTTGATCTGTATGTTTCTTAAATATTAAAAGAAAATTGCTGTTAATTTTGCCTGTAAGACAGCTGTCCATAGAAAATGGATCCAGTCCTGGCAGAATCAGTACAGCTCACAGAATTCATAGCTTTGTAGAGGAGATTTTGACTAAATTGGCTGAATGGCAGAACATGTAGTATTTTATAAAGTCCAGACAAGGGCACTTAATTAACTGAAATTATTCATAATGTTTATGTTAAATAAACATTATTAACCGGCATTTATTGTAATGCCCATGGAATTTGTGCAGGCACCAGGGGCACCCTTGCTTTGGAAAATCCCAGTTGGAGCTATAGTGCTGAACTCCAAGTGGCCAGAAAAGCAGCCTGGGGGAGTCACTAAAATGGCATTTTTTCAGGAGTTTTGCCCTTTGGGGCTGGTGTGCTGCAGCAATGGCAGAATGTCAAAGCTCAGTTCTACACAGAGCAACATAAAACAGGGAGAAAATCGAAAATCCCCCAGGAATGAGCAAGAGTGTGGGAGCATCATCTGAAATAAATGTGACAAGGTCTGTATATTGCTGGCTGTTAAGGCCAGTGGGAGTGATGTGGTTGTGTAGCCTGGCCTCCTGTGTAACACAGGCTGGGGGTGCCCTGAATTAATGCTGCTGTGGCAGAGCCAAGGCAAGAGGTCCCTAATGTCTGGTGTGCTGGCCTCACTGGAGAGCAGACTTAATTAACTGATGTCAGTAACCTCGTTAGGCTTTAGTTGTCTTTGATGCACATGTTGTCCAGTGGTCCTGAGGATCACAGCTGTGGCAGTAGTGAATTAGACTGAAGAAAGCAAAAGGGCTCAGGCAGGGCTTTTGACCCAACTCTGAGCTGCATGTCAGATGCTTGCGTGTCATGTATGTAATTAGTTTGGTATCTATATTTCTATTGCATTCCATTTTTCTGAAATTTAAGAAAAAAAAAACCAAGGAAAGAACTGTCATAGATGCCAGGATTTCATTATGAAGTTCATGGTTTCGCTCCTCCTTTTTCCTGACTACTCTTTTTCCATCATTTCCATCTTTTTCTGAATAGGAGATGTATCAGGGATGGAAAGAGGATTGCCCATGGTCCAGGCTTGGCAGGGTACTGCAAAGCAGCTTTGTAAGAGCACCTGACTAATGGCAGTGTGTACAATAACCATGTGTGAGCTATTGATGCACAATAATTCCTGTGGCAACTACCTTGTTTCACCCATTCTCCTTCTGAAGTTGAAGAGGTCGCTGTGCACTTCTGTAAGGAAAAGAGTAGCAATTAATTTTTGGAAGGCTTTAGGTTGTTACTGTTCCAGTGAATTGTGACCATGATGAGCAGCCCTCAGGCACAGGCCTATGCAAAGGTCTGTGCAGACCTGATCCATCCTGCCTTTAAGTACATCTTTTGTCTATCTTTAAGTACATAACCATAACTCACACATGTCAGGGCTCACAGATGTGGCTGCATTCAACCACATGATTTAATGTGCTGACAGGACTTCCTCATATCCCTGCTGCAGCCTTTTATAGCTTTTCTTGACTTCAGCAGGAGCAGATGCTGGCTATAGCCTGAAAATGAGGCACAGGTAAATAATCCTTGCTTCAGGGAAGAGAACATTACTTAACAGACTAAAATTAGTGACTGAATCATGCAGAACCCTGCTGGGGCTGATTTTTCATCCTTGAGAGGCCCAGTGCACTGCACAGTGCACCAAGTTCTGTGTGGAGCATACCCTGGGCTCACTTGGTGAGGCTGGAAATGAACCAAAACCTTCAGCACTGAACCTGTTCTTTGTAATCTTTTTTAACAGAACTCTCCCAGTAATATGAGCATGAGCAACCAGCCTGGCACTCCCAGGGATGACAGTGAGATGGGTGGAAACTTCCTAAACCCTTTCCAGAGTGAGAGTGTAAGTATTTAATTTCCTGGGTTCTTGGATTGCAAGGTGAACCTGTATATGTGGCCTTCTGTTCAGAAAAAGAAAATTTACAAGTTTTGTAGTGTGCTTGTAGTGCAGCACTGTCTTGGATGTTTTTTAATAGTTTCTGAAAGTATAGTATTGATTTGAATAAAAAATGCTGTGCAAAAGAGAGCTGAAACTGGAATAGGTGGGAGGCATAGAATTACTGCAGAAACTCTCTGGGCCATGAGGTCAGTGAAAGAGCAGGATTTACACTGAAGCATGTGATGAGAGCACCAGTAGATTCCATATTGCAAAGATGCAGTGTGCTGTTACACCCATAAAAGGCAGAGGCTCCCACTAGTGTTCATTCTGGGGAAAATTATGCTTTTTTTTTTTTAAATATGGAATGCTCAAAGGAGCAAAATGTGGTCTAAACATTTTACAGAGCAAGACTGTGGTGTTGTCATACTCATGTGCCCGAAGCTGGGTTTCTAAATCCACATCTAGGTCCCTAAATAGAAGTGAAACCTCATTAGCTGTGCCAGTGGTGACCTGCTGCTCAGTAAACAGCTTCTGTTAGATCTCAGCTTAGTTGAGTTCCATGGAAAATTTCCTGGGAATCAGATTTTGGGGGTTTTGTGAGGTTTTTTTTCCTAGCTAGTGAAAAGGAAGAGTTAGCTGTTGGTGGGCACACATTCAGGCTGTGTGCAATGTTGAAGAAGACTCTCACACACCACCTAAAAGGAGCAATGTTTAGTATTTGCCAGAATGGCAGTGAGCACAGAGCCTCCATGAAACGTGGTCCCTGTTGTGGCAGCCCTTGGCTCCCACTCTGGCAGGCTCTCTGTGCTGAGGGCAGCCAGGGTCACTGAAACTGTGGGAACAAGAGGAAATCAGTGTGCTCAGCCACTCCCTGGGTTCTGGGTGTTTTTGTGCTGCCTGGAAGGGCCAGGGACTCAGATTTCTCAAGGTTTTGTTGAGATGTGTGCCTGCAGGGCAGGAGTGACACATGCCAGGGGCATCCCTGTCGGCTCCCGGGGCCGGCAGGCTCTGGAACATGGGCTGCTCTCTCATCCTGGGGAGCTGCTTTGCTTTCTGATCCATGTTTTGCCACTTGGCTGCTCAGAATAGCTGTTATCATGGAGTCCTTTCTCAGGGACATTTGCTGTTCAGTTCACCAGGAATTTTGGTTAGGGGTAAGTAGCAATGCAGAGCTCAATAACAAGTTGAAAATCCTAAACAACTTGAGACCTTGCTTTGATTCCTTCCCCAAAGTGATTCCCCAAATACCATGGCTCAGATACAGCAAATTACTTAAGCAGGTGCTGTGCTTTAAGCCTCAGAGCTGGTAGTCAGACCTGTGTAATTTTCATGACAGGGAAGATCCATCTAAAATACTCTTTCCATATGCTTGGACACTTGGAAATGGCCAGCTTGGAACTCAAGACTTGGTGGGATATGTAGGGCACATGTGGTTTTGCACAGGCAAATTTATCTTTTCTTCTGTCAATTTTCAAAATGCTGATCTTCTTGCATTTTAACATTTTCCTCTACTTAGAGGATGTTAGATCAAATTAAATGTTTTTGCAGTCCACAGTGTTAAATTTGAAAGCAAATTAGATGTATAGATGTGCATTTCTTCTAGTCACTGTGGTGTCCCATTGATTACTGTAATGAAGCCCTGCTAACCTGAACTTGGGTAAAGGCTGCAGTTCAGTTTGTGTCACTGCAATCGTGTGATGTGGTGATTGAATTTTTGTTCCACGTAAAGGAGAATGACCGCTGGTCCCTGATTCAGCCTGCCCCCTAAAATTGCTAACACAAAATATTACAAGCCAAAAACCTAACTGAATCATAGTCACACATACCTTTGTTCCTTTCTTCCCCTAAAATAATCAAAAAATCCCCAAAATCTTGTATGGTTCAGCTAGCCATGAATGCAGACAGTCTGTTTCAGACTAGGCACCTGCCCAGATAAATTCCCCAGTAGCCAGCGGTGGGCAGGAAGGGTGTGGAAAGCCTCGGTGAGCTGTTGGTTCCTCACAGCACCAGAACAGCCCTCAGGGCGATGCCTGTGTCAGCAGTGGCTGTGCTGTGGCATGAGAGAAGCACAGCAGAAGTTGTGGGGACACCAGCTGAGCTACAGCCCCCACAAACTGAGGAGGGAGCTCAAGGAGCTCTGAACCCGTTGCTGCAGCCCAGGTGTGGGTGTAGCCACCTGGGGCGGGTGGGGGGAAGAATGTTTGTTAAAATGTGGATTCCTCTTTTCCAGTACTCCCCTAGCATGACAATGAGTGTGTGACCCCTTCACAAGTGTCGCCATGAAGACCACAGTGAGTTGGCCCTCTCCAGAGAGCTACTGCAGAAGAAAATTATTCGTCCCAGTGTACAGTTTAACTAAAGGATCCCAGACACAATCAGACCCACCTGGGTTGTTTGGTTTTTTTTTTTTTTTTCTCCTACCATCTCCCTTGTTTTGTCAAGAAAGTGGGTCCCAAACATGCTTGAGACAACTGTAAGGAGTGGCATGAGAGAAGTGCCCGAGGTGGAGCTGCCAGCACCTGTCTGTGTGTGTACATGTGTGGGTCAGCGTGGGGTGTGTGTGTGACACACAAACACACACACACACACAGACCCCAGGACACTGTAAAATAGGATCACGTGACATCTTACATAGAAATCAGAAGTAGGGACTTTTATTCCATTAATTTTTTTTTCCACGTTTACATTTTAATTATTAAAATTTGCTTTCCCTCTCCCATCCTGAACTGTTTTATGTTGCATATATCACTGCTTTATAAGTTATTTTTTAAGTTGAACTCAAAAGATAAATTCTTTTGATTTTGTTAGTGTCTGCCATTATGGATAGGAATAAAATTGCTTATACGAGCTTTCATTACCTTGTGTTTGATACCAGCTACCCTGTGAATCACAAATTGTACTGTCTCAAGAAATAGAAGAAAGCTCATCTTAATTTTTTTGAGAAATTTAATAACTTCCACCTAGTTTGGGGATTTTTTTTGATACTTTGCCTTTAAGAGAAAAAAAGAAGCACTGAAGGTTATTTTTCTTCTTTAATTGAAGCCTAATATCTGCAATATCTATTTTAAATGGAAGCCTGAATTTGATACAAGCTTCTCAGTTTATATAGAGTACTATAAGGTTACTGTAAGTGAGCTCTAATTGCTATAGAATCTAGCAATAAAGTGTCAGGGCTTCTCCTGCCCTTGGAATTGAGTTTTCTATGTAGCATGGTCTTCTGTAAGGGTGGTAGTTAGTGGAAATACAGTAGAGTCTTTATCACCAAAACATTTTCTAACAACTTACAATTATGTTTCCCATTTTCAGTGATTCTCAAACATATATGAGCAATCCGTGTTCCTAATTATAAACAGTATTTCCCAAGCCCATTTAGAAAATCAGGTCACCCTGCTGCTTGGGTGCGTGTTTTCTGCCATATCTGCAGAATTAATTCCCAAAAAACTTTCCAGTCAGCAGCCTTTTTTTTTTTTTTTTTTTTTTGAGCCAAAATGCCACGGTAAACTTTTTATGACTACTAGCCTTGTGTGAGGGCATAGAGTTAGGTGGGAAAGCTGGGGCCAGAATGCAGAAAAAGGCCTAAAGGAAACGCTTCTGGAAGCATTCCCATTTCTCTTCAGGCAGAGCTCTGAAACCAAGCTTATGGTACATTGACTGAGTTCTGATGATTTTCAGCTCCCCCAAGAAAACAAAGGTTTTCAGTTTGTAGTGATACAAAGGCTGATGATCAGCAATGCAGGCACAAAGGGGCTCAGCAGAAATTCATGCCACAGACAAACAGCAAATTCCTCTCCTTGGACTTTAATCCAGAAAAGCCACTTGCAGAGGAGGAGCAGCTCTGGGATGTGGTATATGCAGGTGCAAGGGGATTCTCTTCCATGGACTTGTGGTAAAGGAATATCACCCATATGTGATGGGCTTGTGATGGTAGCTGAAACGTAACAAGATGTGTAAGGAATACTACAATCTCCTAACTAATTTTTATTTCCATATATTATATGTGTATGATATATGGAAATAAAAAGATGTAACATGTTACTCTCCTGTTAGGGCTATTCAAGGATGAAAGTCTCAGAGCATTAAAATCATGTTGAAGTATCAAAGCTTTTGGTAGCATTACTTTTAATAAGAACTACTTGATTAGATATTAACATGACCTAGATAGTAATTATTTGGTATTGTAGACTGTATTCTTATTGCTTATGAAGGTCACATTAATTTGCTTCTCTTTGGAAAACATATTGTTTCTGTCTCCAAAGATTCTGGAAGTCCCTGCTATTGGCTTGAATCACAAACACAAAATCAGGTGTAATTTCTTCAGACCCTTTGCTGTTGTCACTGACACCACTGGTGTGTCCCCAGAGTCCTTGCAGCCTGTGTTTGCCACCTGTGTTATCTGTGGTAGCCTTCCAGGGAGCCAAGGGCTCTTTCTGGCCCAGTGTCAGTCAGTTGATGTCTTTGCTGATGGACTGAGTGAGAGGAGTAGTGCATCAAGTGCCAAAGCCCATTCCCAGGTCAGTGAGCTGTTGGGCACCTTGGAAGGATGGAAGCCTGGCCTTAAACCTGTGCTTGGACCTGCTGGCACAGATTGGAAAACAATATTAAAACACGTTATCCTCACTTTTATACAGGAGCATAACGTCCTTTCAGCACATGACTGATTCCCTGTGTCCTGCATTTCTCATACCCCACAGGGCAGCTGATGTCACTAATGCTTTGTCCAAGGCTTTACCCGGGCTCCCCACTCTCCAGGTTCCTGCAGAGGCCAGGTTCTGCAGCTGAACCATTAGAAAACAATATTATGTGCTAATTACTCAAATTCTAAATAACACCTTCGGATTATATTTTTCTTAATATGCACAGGACTTTTTGCTTGTTCATTTTTCTTTCCTTTGCTTACAAATTCTTGTGGTATCTGGAGTATCAATATGGGAAGAAAGACTATTCCCAAGCACTCAGTTTTTGCTCCCACTTACATTTTTTATGCTCCAGATACCAGGAGTAATGTGACTGCTCTTTGGTTCTGTCCTTGTGCAACAGCACTGTGGATAATGTTAGAACTTATCCAGCTCTGGTAGGAATTTTAAGTGGTGCAGGATAAACTTTCTCACACTGGGATTTTAGATAGATCTTGCTCTTTAGTAGTGAAGTAAATAGAAGGTGATTCTGTACATGAGTATTTCAGGCAAAGTTGAAGTAAACCTTTTTAAAAACAGAAGTGATTAAATCTTAGAGTAGCAGAAATGAAGAGTAAGAGTTCTGTTATGCTGTGAGAACTCTTGCAAATATTCCAGCTTTGTGGAGAACAGCTGAAACTGGATTCACTTGTGAACTTCACAATGAAACCAGGGTCTTACCTGCTGCTTAAACCTGGAAAGAAATGCTTAGATCCAGATGTATCTCCACATCACCCAGATTGTATTACCTAAGAACAGGGTTTGAGGCAAGGGAGAAACTGTCTGAATCACAGGTAAAGCATGTGGCCTGGCATGCATTAACAAAATACCTGGATATTTGCATGTAGGGATTACATTATGTTCTTAACTACCTGAGAATGAGGAAAAACTGCAGTTTGGAACTTGCACTTCCAACCCCCAGAAATTCCATTTTTTATTTGGAAGCCCTCTGGTTGCAGAGCCCTGCCCACATGTTCAGAGACAGTAACAACTTCCAGGCTTTTTCAGCCTGTTCCCTATAGTGTAGGATTAAAAGTTCCACATACCAGGACATCCAGCTGTTCGTTTCCCTTCCAACAGGAATACTCAATGAGAAATAATGTAGGCTAATCATTTATTTTAAATAATTCCACTTGGGAAGAAGTGAATAGAAGCCTGCTTCTTTAAGGATCCATCAAAGGACAGTTTCTTGAACTGCCTAAAACAAATTGAATTTCACTCTGTTCTGTGGCAATACTGCATGTGCAAATAATTTGGAATTAGATTTAATGAGGGACCAGCTGTTACAATATTTAGTGTTGATCACTTTATTGAGAATGACTTTTCAGCTGATACATGTTACACAGGGTCCTATTTCTGCATAAGTTAATAATTAAGTGTTTTCCCCTGCTCCAAGTGAGCTCTGCTCCACTGTTGTTATTGTCGTGGCTAAGAATGGACTGGATTATTCAGTATTTGACCCTACACATTTGCATTTCAAGAATGTAAAATATACCTTAATGATGTAAAAAGTGCAGGTAAATTTGTTTTTCTTTCATTCACCATAAGTGGTGATATAATTGTGGGTGCTGTCAGAGACACACTTGGGTTTGCTCAGGCCTTAAGGACGGGGAATCCTTACAAAGCTCATCTTTCAAATAAACCCCTATAAAACTACTTCAACACTCTTATCTCACATTGAGGATCCAATTCACAATTTAGTGGTTCAAAACAACTCTAGAAATTCAGAAATAAATTATTTAGGTTTAAATTTTGCTGTATTCAGCTCTCTCTACTTTTCAGATATTGGCACAGTTCTGTAAACTGCTGCTTGTGCCAATTCTGCTGCAACTTTGATGAAACCATTCACATAAGGTCATTTTTTGGGTAGGATTTTGCCCTAGTCTGAGTCAAATATATAATTTACCTGTGGTGTAACATTATTTGGCAGATGTAAAAACTGAGTACATAGAGAAAAACCCAGAGGGTCTGTTGAAATTACCAAAATTATGTTTCAACTTGAAAAATGAGAAAAGAGAGTTTAAAATACTGCTTAGAGTGCACTCCTGTATAGTGTCTACATATTGGAAACAAATTACAATGCCAAATCTAGAAAAAACAAATGGATCATCTACTGAGGACATGAAAATTCTGATCCTGCCAATAGCTTCACCTTGTTTTGAATTTGAGCCTGCACATAGTTAATTTTAAACAGATCTGAGAACAGGTAGTATCCTTCAGGAAATTAAAAAAGTAGGACTTTAGTAATCTAAACCCATGCTTGAACATGGACAGTCTAGAGCTCAAATTAAGTCTTTCCTAAGCAGACATTATTTTACAGATCTTACCAGTGCAGAAGCATGTTTATGTGTCAATAGTACTGACATGCAGAGCAGATTTGGCTTTCTTCTGTTTCTTACTTTACTAGAGCTTTGTTCACTATTACACGAACTGTTTCTGTGAATTTGTTCTTTCATCTTGTTTTCAGTTGTGCAGCCATAGTTTCCCTCAAAACAGCCAACAGCTTTGCAGTTTTAGTCCAAACTTCTGTTTGGTTGCTGTTCTTCATTTAAGCTTAAAATGTGTAAGAGAGCCTCTCATGTAATAGGAAAACTTGCCATAAAAATGTATAAAGGTTTTCTTGGGTACATGTTTTCAAATTTAATAAATGCAGTTTTCGGTTATAATTTGAAATGGTCACTTTCTAGCAACTATTTCAGTTTTGTGTGTAAAAGAAATGAAGAGAAAAAAAGAAAATCACCTTTTTTTTTCTTTATTTTACTTCAGCATTGTAAATATTTGCTGAAAGACATGGTTTTGGGGAAATCAGATCAAAAAGAGATTTGCTGCCTAGTTGCTATAGATAACACAGCTGAAAGCTCCTTCCACACCTCTGAAAGTGTCCTGCTTGCCATCTGAATAGTGTGACCTTGTGCAAAGCCTAATTCACCAGCAGTGGTTCCATTTGCCTGGCCAGTGCTTTCAGCGTGTCGCGTGGATGGTTCAGGGCTCTGTGGCCTCAGAAGAGTGACCGAGTGTCGAGCAGGCTTGTTCCCAGGTCAGCTGGCTCAGGACTGGGCAATCATCCGCCAGAAACAAGGTGTTCGTTCGCTACCTCGCTGTTCTCTTGAGAACTTGCACAACTCTTCTTGCCGTTAGGTTCTGGGGATCCTTTCAAGATTTTACAGTGCTGAGACAAGAGGCTGGATTTTGCTAAGAGAGAATTCTGGCAGTTTTAGCATCGGTTTTCATAGGGAAACAGCACAAAACATGGGGATTTTGAAAGGTGGTGTGTTCACAATAGAGTGGTGAACTAGGAAATAGACTGTACCCTCTAGGAGTTTGGGCTATTACAGAGATACTGAAATCATCAGTAATTGCTTTTGATGGAAAAAGTCTTGTTGGGGAACAACTGCTCTGATCCCTGAGGAGTCAAATTGTCCACTGGGTGAACTGGATATTTTAGGTTTCACTTCTGTTGTTTTGATCTTCATGTGTTACCCTCTCTCACTTGGACTTCCCCAGTAAATGCCAGATCTTTATGCAAAAATAAGAGCATTTTGCCCAACAAACATGCAGGAAGTTGTTCATAACTGTAACTAGAGCCCTGCTGTAGAGAGTTTATTTCATTAGTGAGAAATTGAGTGTAACACCAGATAAGGAGCGGCAGTGCAGCATCCTGAGAGCTCTCACTGCTCAAGATCTGGACAGTCAGCATCCCACACGCTCACAAATCAGCCGAGATGGTTCCTAACAGTTATAGAAAACAGCTTGGAAGACAGGCTCATTTTTGTCGTGCAGATTGTATGAAAATAAAACCCCAAATACAGGATATATTTAATTGAGGTAGAAACTTACTGAAACTCTCTGTAGCAGAGGCACTGAGCACATCCAGTGGTTTAGTGGGAAAGCAAAGTGGTGTTACAGAATTGTTGTCAATAAACATAACATCCAAAAGCGGGTATAAGCTATTTTCAATTTCATTTTTCTAGTCTTTTTTTTTTTTTTTTTTTTTTTTTTTTTTTTTTTTTTTTTTTTTTTTTTTCTGATTATGTTGTAGTTTTGATTTGATTTGCATTTACATTAATGGACAAGGAAGAGAACACAAGTTCCTAAAGCAGGGCTGGAATGAATTAGGGCTAGAATTAGAGGCACAGAAGAGTGGTGTTAGTAAAGCTGGAGCTTTCTGTCAGTTATAAATCAAGTGAATTTTTATATTACTATTTTTCCAGGACAAAAAGCATCTGTACAATAAACTCTGGCTCTGTCATGGCTGTTTGAGAAGCGTGAATCGAATTGCTGTGTGTGCTTGGACACCAGTTTTGAAGGGGTTTTTTTGTTTGTTTCTTGGTTGTTTTGGTTTTTTTTGGTTTTTTTTTTGCTAGGATCCCCTTGGAGTGCATCTACTCTATGTATGTTTGGCTAAAACTACAGGAACAAACCACTTTTGTTTTTATGGATTGCTGTACACACATCTGGTTCTGGTGGGAAGAGGAGGATTTGTTAGCTGGTGGGTTAGCATATTTATGTGAATTACTTGCAGCATTGGTAAACTACTGTCAACTTTGTTCACATTGCACAAGATACTCTGTGTTGTCTATTGCTGGTGTTATAACCTCGGTGATCCATGCATATCCTGTAAATTTCTGTAGGTTTTGTGTAAGAAATCTTGCCACCACTGCTTGCTACTGTAAATTCTTGTTTTGGAGCAAGAGGTGGCATTTGACTGTACAGCCATGTGTATTATATACTGCAATAGTCCTTGTTCTGTCCTCTGAACTCACTGTCCACATAGAGTTGAAGGTCTGTTAAGCACGCTTAGTGGTTTCAGAATTGATTTCAAACAGCAGATCTATAAGCCATTTACAGAAACATTAAATGTAATGTAAGAGAATTCAACCCAGTTCATACCCTTTTCTGAGAGCTCGGGGTTGGACTGGAGCAGGCAGCTGCAGGTTTGCTGGTGTCCCAGGTGCCTGTGCCTGCACACCTGAGAGGTGTCACACCTGTGCAGTGTCCCCTGGCAAAGGGGTGCCCCAGGCACAGCACCTGGGCAGGCTGCTGCCTGCAAAGATGTGTGAGCTGGTGTCTTTTTTACTCCCCACAAACTGCAGCAGTGCCAAGACAGAAGCCCATCTCTAGGGGCATATGGGAGGCACAGAGCTGCTTCTGCATTGTGTCCTCATCTCCACCCACCGCAGGCTTTACCCGAGGTGGTGGTTAAGGAGATTTGAACTCTCTGCCTGGTTACCGAAAGAGAAAAATAACCTGAATTCTGGGACTCTGCATTCTTTTTTACAGTATTTTATGATATACAGCAAAGGCCTGAAAATGTCTGTGTGTTCTCTGCTGGTTTCTGACATCAGAATTTCAAGTCCTGTCTAGTCTGAAAGGCAGTGATTCGAAAAGTGAAGAAGCTTGGAAAGTTGAAGGGGATTCTTACTTGGATTACTTTAAATTCTGTGTTTCTATTGATAGTTTAATTAAATGAGTAGGCTAATCTTTAGAATCAAGGCAGTCTTAATGACTTTGCACCTTCACCCTTTCATGTAAGACTGAGAACTTGCAATAAGTGTTACTCATGCTTACAGTCTGATTTGTAGATAAATTCCCTGTATTTCTAAGATAAAAAAAATATTTCTACAGTTACTTCAGCCCTTTATAGAGAACAACAGGGCAATCCCTGTTCCATAATCCCAAGTATTTGTAGGTGTATTTTAGACAAAGAATGACTTTCAACATCATAAATGAAACTAATGTTCAATGTTCCAGTCTCTGGAAGTAAAGGAAACCTCAGTAATTTTGCAAACCAGCAAGAATGAAACTTGTCTATATAAATACTAATGTAGAAAGTGCATGCAAAACTTGATACTGCCTCTGACCTTAATCGTTGCTATTGATACTATTGGGGATCTCACAAATGTGTGTTTCAGAACGCTGTATTTCTCCTCAGTGCGTGCTTCATCCTCATTACCGACAGCTCCTGCAAAGAGCCAGCCCATGCCGTAGCCAAGGCGTGGGGATGCAGAACTCCCACAGCACCATGGATACGTGGACATGCGTGCGTGTTGTGTTAGGATGAGTAGCCACTGCGGCTGCAAGCCCCTCCAGACCTGTCTGTAGCTCTCCAGGGCAGCCTCTGGGGTGCTGGGAGGGCTGCAGTCCGGTGCCCCGGAGCTGCTCCCATCCACGTGGCTGCGGGTCTCACTCTGGGGGATCGTCATGAACTCAGCCTCACTGTGTAACGTGTGATGAGCTCCTTGCCAGACTGAGCTCCCGAGGCTCGGGTGGTGTGGCACACTGCCCCGAAGCGTGTCTGGCTGGGAGCCTCAGACAGGGCTGTGACAGACTGGATTGTCATGGTGATACTGTGCCACCACATCAGACTTGTTTCGCTCCATGCTTGGCCTGATTCATCCTGCCCTAATTTCAGCTGGATAAAAATTACCAGCCTGGGTCTTGTGTGCAAGTCCGAGGAGGGACGTGAGTGGAGATGCCTCTGGAAGATTTCATTATGGCATCATCTGTCCTCACCACTGCCAAACGGCTGGAATTAGGTGGGATGAATCCAAATGTGTACAATTGGCTTCTCACACCTCTATGCAGAAGTGTATTTATTTGAGCTTGGAATGGGCAAGAATAATGCAGCTCCTTTGAACCTGAATTCAAGTGTCTCATAGATGATTTTCTGAATTCAATCTCAAGCATGAGATTTCTGCCCTGTAGTGCTATTTTCTTTATTTTTACTTTGATTTTAACAAACAGCTGTAGCTTCAACTTGCAAATTGTTGGAACATTTGCAGAGGGATTACCCCTGCCTAGGAATCCTCATCTTTATTTGTTAGAGAGGGCTTCCTTGTTACCTGCACTGATGTTCTTTGGAAGCAACACAGGGAGAAACCATTGCATAGATCAATCAACACCAGCAATAGCATATGCATCTTCTAAAATCAGCTGTGAGCTTGTAACTAAGGTATTAATGTTCATACTTTCAAGGTGTGGCTCAAGATTCCTTTCCTGAGAGCTTTAAGGAATAAATCTAGGAGGTCATGGTTGAGGGTTGTGAGAATACATGTAGTAATGGCAGTTTATGATAGGTTTTTTGGGGGGAAATGTGCGATCAATGTGCTGGGATTTGGTGGTTTGGAGATGAGGGAATCTCCCATGTCAGATAGAGCAGATCTGCAGGCAGCGTTGCTGTGGGTTAGCAGAGCCTGCTTCCAGCAGGTTCCTCCTCTAGTTCCCCCTGACACCTTCCCCATTACCTGCCGGTACGAAATCCTGGCAGCAGTTGTGCCAGGTGTTGTGGCGAGCTGAGGAACAGCTCAAGGCCCAAACTGAAATGCTGTAGCTGCACCTTTCACCTTCATCAAGCATCCACGTTCTCAGAGCTGGGCTGGGACAGCAGGCACCTCCACAGCTGCCCTGTAATCTTACCAGACAAAAGTGGGTGTCACTTCTTATGAGTTTATCAGGAGCAGTATTGATCCAGTCGCTTTATTTCCTAAGTTGTGAGTCATTTGCTGTTGGAAATGATACAGATATTGTGTAGCTGTGAATAGAAAAATTGAGATTTTTTTTCTTATGATGAGCTGGTACAATTCCTGCTCCGCTGTTCAATATTTTTGAGTGCTGAAGTTAACCAAAAATGCTGCTTTCATGGATTATCTCAGCCTCAGCTCTGCATGAAAATGGGCATGAAATTCCAGTTGCTGTTCCTGGTTTCTCTGTGAATTCTGAGCCAAAGGTAAAGCAGTGGGAAATATTGTTGTGGCAGCCACTCACTGACAGCTTTTCAGATGCATAAAGCCATTCTGTCTGTCATCTGACAGTATTCCAGTTTTCTCACTGGGTCACCATGTTGTTGTCAGCCAGTGGAGGAAAGGTGGATGAGCTCACCACCCAGGAAGAGTAGAAATGTAGCAAGTAATGAGCTGTGTTCTCCAACAGTCCTTTATTTGTAGAGCTTCACTTTCAATTAACTTTTGTACCTTCAGTTATTATTGTACCATTCACTATCTTGAGGTGGTATGAGCAGAAATTTATGAATATATATAATTTACCAGAAATATAGGCTTGTATTGTGCCTTTGTAATTCTCTTCAGCTTCAGTATGTATACGCTGCGAGCAGATGAACTTCCTCCCTCTTTTGGGGTGTTCTTTACTACAACAGTAGCTGATGGCTTCATCAATATTGGCTCTTTTAGTCTTCTGGGGCTAACATTTCTGTTTTTCTGAGTGAAAATGCCATAGTGCCCTCAGCAGACATAAGCACAATGACATAACTCTGCAGTGCATGCTGTCTCTTAGCTTCTCTCTACACGTGCTTGCATGTTGGAAGACCTGAAGAGCTGCTGTGTAAATTGCTACATTATTTACCCAATACAGGTGGTTTTCCGCATCCCTTTTTTGCTCAAAACTCCCATTAACTCAGAAGTTAGTGATGGCTCAAAGGGGGGTTTTGGAAGCACAAAGGATGCAGGAAGCAACTCTTCAGTAGTTTACAGGCTGCTATAAATGTCTTTTCAGCAACGAAATGTAGCATTTTAGCAGTAATTTCCTAGTGAAAACACTGAGCGTGCTTATCACTTAAGATTTTAAGGAAAAAAAAAAGTGTCAGACTGTATAATTGTATCTCATATAATTTTGACACTTAACCAGTTTTATCTGTGTGTTCATGCTATACCAACCAACATAGACCTGAAAGGTGACAGCCATGTTTTTGTTACACAAAAAGTCACAGTTTTACAGAGGTTCTGTTTTGACTTTTTGTTTCTTTACCACATTTTCACTGCAGAGGTATTTTTCTATACAGTTACCTGAGGCTTCCTTTCACCAACCAAAAGAGTCTGTAGCCCTCTGCACTGTGAAAGGCAAAGCCCTTGGAGAGACACGGGCTTTGCACTTGCCCAGCAAATTAGCAGAAATTTCACCCAAGCCATAAAAGCCTCTTATGTTAATCTCTGTTTATGTAATTAAAGCAATTAGGGATAGGAGCTTCAGCAATAATGAGGTCTCTCTATCCTCCATTTACACTCTCTGTGCTTCATAGGGATTTAAGGGTTCTTTTTTCAAGGCTCAGCTGTGTCTCTTCAAACCAGTGCAGTCTAAGCATCGTGTGAGATGCAGTTTATGGAGATAGCATTGGAGCGTGAAAGATTTACTTCTGGTAGCAAGGAAAAACTTGTGTCCCTGTGGACATGGACACTCGCAAACAAGTCTGATACCGAGAATTAAAACAAATGCGTTCACGATGGTACCAGTACATCAGACTCCGTTCTACAGTGGGGTTTTTAGCTTTTGTCATTTGTATTTTATTTTGTGAAAAAAGGAGTTGGGGGGATCTCAGATCACATGGGGAATATTAGAAGTATATCACTCAACAATCATTTTATAAAGTCTAACTTCAAAATGCACTATGATTTATTACAAAAGTATATTTTCTTCTGTTTTTCGACATGGTGGTTCCATTTTGTGATAAGTTAAACTCAGCAGTTAATTTGTTGCACTGCCTGGCTGCATGATTTCATCCAGTGTACCTACGTACCTGTGCAGCATTACTTTTGGGGTTTGTATTTGAATTTGCAGTATTGATTATTATTTTTGTATTTTACTTTGCCTCTGTTATTGGAATTGTAGTAAACATAATTTATACATATGATTTTACAACTGTTTTGCAACTGAAAAGTCTCCTTTAAATTGTAAAGTTTTATTGATGGATACTCATTAAAATGGTATAAGAATTATATTAACAATTGTTTTGTGTTTTGATGCTCTCTGTATATAAATATATGTCTATTTATCTGTTTAATGGTGCTTGTGTCTTGCAATTTTGGATACATTTTAGAATAAAGTTTCATTTTACAAGAAGTAGTTGTATTTTCACAAGCTGTGTCCCAAAAAACCCCTGCAACCAAACACCTATTTTCCATAAATAACTAAAGATTATGACAGAAGCATACAGAAAACATTTATAACTTCAGACAGTAACACATTTGTTTCTGGAACATAGAAGTATGCTGCCTACAGAAATGCACAGCTCTACACTGCAGTTGATTTACTGCAGTAGCTGACATCTGTATTTAAAACGTTCCCAAAAGGATGCATTTTGGAACACCTCTTGCTAGCTCTAATGGCTTTACTTTACAGATTTATTCACATCTAAGGCTGAGCTTGTTGTTTATTAACTGGAAAAGATGCACAAAAGGTGCTTCCACAAAGGCTGCCTTAGGTCCAGTACCTCGGTGATGCCACAGATGCTGCTGTAGCTGTGCCACAGAAAGTACTTTTCAAGTGGGAAACACCAACACCAAACCCACCACACTCTTTAGTACATTAGCCAGGAAACCTCAAAATCAGTAAAATCTCAAATTATCAAAGTAAACAACTACACAAAATTAATGTTTCTACCCAGTTTCAAACTGAAACCACCAGACTGGGGCCAGCAGCTTAATTTCTCTTTTTCAGCAATGAAAGGAGAACAGTACTGACTTGGCAGGTATTACCTGAGCACCAAAAGCTGTAAAACACTATTTTAGTCCAGTGGAGACTGTAAGAAACGGCAGGAGTCAGCCTCAGTGGTTCCTTCGCAGTCCATTACGCTCCTTTGGCTATCTCTGTAGCTGGAGGGCAGAGGAAATGCAGCTTGTGAAAGCAGAGAATCATGTGGGAGGGCTGATTTTGGAGTGCGACCAGGTGTGTCTGCTATGGGCACTGCTTATTCGTACCCCTGTTCCCCAGAGGACACCCCCCGAGTGGATCCTTCCCTGAAGAACAAGAGCTACGTGCACATCAGAGGGGTGGTTTTCAAAGAGCGGCTTTCCCTCGCTCCAGCTGCTCCTGTTTCCCCTCTCCCCAAGCACACGCTCCCCACAACACTGCAGGTTTCTCACGTGAGCAGATTTCGATTTTCCTTTGTCCCCCTGCGGTTCCAGCGGCTTTGTAGCTCCTCATCTCACAGCGAACGAGATCTATACCAGGCCAGGCACCTGATCACTGGGGCTGTGTTCAACATTACAGCAGAGTTATCCTAGAGAGTGCCCGAGCATGACAAGGTAAACCTGAAAACAAATTTACAAATTACTGGCCTAGGCAGGCAAAGTGTAAGGTAAGGGGTTTTTAACAGGAAAATGTTCAGTTCTGTTTACAGACCTTTTCTTTTAGCATCTACAATCCACAGTGTGAAAAACTGATAATTTGAGGTGGTGTCATCTGGATAGAGCAGTTGATGGAGGAGGAAACAGTGGGTGCAAACCTTTTAAAGACCCTCTTCAGATAGCAAGGCAAGGTGTCCCACTGCCATGACAGTCTGGTTTTTCCCTTCACAGAAGCCAGAGAAGGAGAGAGAGACCAGTAATTTTTTTTTTTTTTCTGAAGCAACGGAATGAAAATAAATGTAGGGAATGGCACAACACGCTGATTTTTAGAGCCAGTATCTTCTGAAATGTAACAAGTGAGATGATACAGCCATGGTGTTGCTTGATAAAAAGAGTATGTGCGTAGAAACAGAGACAGTGCTATAGCAGTGAAGTGACAGTAACAGACCGTGTGGGAAGAGAACCCCTGCTGCAGTGAGAAACTCGGTTAAAATTCAAATTTTCCTGGCTGTTGTAGGTTAAAGCTGGATCTTTAACAATGTTTAAATGAACAAGTGTTCACGATGTAAACTCATGGATGTATGCTTCTGAGAAACATGGAATGCCCTCTTTGGAGCAGTGACTACCAAGATGAAAGGTTGTAAGGAAAGGCTACAGAAAACAGTCCTGCAGCTGCAATAGTCAAATGCAAGCCTTGCAGTCTTTCCTGAAAACCATTTATGGTTTATAGCCTCTGCTACATTGCAGTAACACATCTGCCTCACCAACAGCTGACAAGCCCAGGCACTGAGCATCCCCAAATCAGCTGAGCCTTCAGCAGCAATTACGCTGTATCTGTGGCAAAAGTAAAACCTTGACCTTCCTGACAGCTCAGAAGCGATTGTTCTGCTCTTCCTCAGCAGAGCTTGTATTGTCACAGTGTGCAAGGGCAGCGATATCGTTACCAGCCGTGTGAGGAGGAGGAGGTAAGAGAAGGAGCTCTCTGTGGGCTCTCGGTGACCGGGGCCATGGCCACAGGTGGGAATCAAAACATCCAAGCTGGAAGTGCCACTGTTTCCACTGCCTCTGGGATGGGAACATGTCTGCCCTGGATGCATCTGCTGGGATGTCAAGTTGGTGACAGCATGAGAGGGCAAGAATCAAAAAAAGAAATAAAAATGAAAATATGAGCCAGATTGGAGGCATTTCAGTGACAGTGGACACACCAAAGCTAGCAGTGGCTGGTGCCAGGCCATGAGGTGACCTTGGGAGTCCTGGGGCAGCAGTGGAGGGAACATCCAGTCCCTGGTGCCCTGGACACCACCAGCACCCCCTGCACTGGAGCTGCTCAGCTTGGAGAGACCTGAGAGCAACCTCCAGTACCTAAAGGGTCTAAAGAGAGCTGGTGAGAGACTCTGTACCAGGGCAGGCAGTGGCAGAACAAGGGAGAATGGCTTCCAAGTGTAGCAGGTGAAGACTGGGAAGGAATCGCTGGCACAGGGAGCCCAGAGCAGCTGTGGCTGTCCTTGGATCCCTGCCAGTGCCCAAGGCCAGGCTGGACACTGGGGCTGGAGCACCTGGACAGGGTTGGGGTTTAGGGTCCCTCCCAGCCCAAACCGCTCCATGAATCCCCTCAGCACTGGCACCCCACTCTCATCCCCAATACTGCCTTACTCTCACCCTGGAACCTCTATTCCCTCAGTCCCAGACACTCCTTCCCCCTAATCCCAGGCACCTCTTCCCCTCAGCACCTCACCACCAGCCCTAACGTGCCCTTTCTCCTCATCCCACACCGTCCTTTCCCTCAATTCCATCCCACCCTTTCCTTCATCCCAGGTACCCTTAATCCCTGACCCGGGCTCCCTTCCCCCTCATACTGAGAACTCTTTTTCCCTCATCCCGGCCATCCCTTGCCCCTCACCCGGTCTCCATTCCCCTCAGCTGGGCTCCCTTTCCCATTCCCCTCACCCGGTCCCCATTCCCCTCACCCGGTC